TATTATATATAGTATAATAATATAATATGTGTGATTATTATAATAATAAAAATTTATTGTATAATCTAATTTGAAATTAGATTGATTTATAAAATATTTTATTAATAAAAATAAATAAATAATATTATTATCATATATATTAAAATAAGTTATTAAATAAAAATATATTTAATATATTACATGAATAATTAAATCTTGAGTATAACAATTATATCCTTAATAAATAAAACAATTTATTTAATCCCTATCCTCTTGACCAAGATATTAAATCAAGTAGTCTACTCTAATTTTTTGCTTTTTACGTGAAAATACACACCCATAAAATAAACATTTATCATTTGTAAAAGAATTAATAAAAATATATTTTATAATCTACATTATTTTAAATAGATATTAAGAAGATATCTTAAGTAAATTATTAGACCAAAAAAAAAAAAAGGATTTAAAATGTTAAGAAATAGGTACTTATTTTTTTACCTTCCTAAAATTACTTTCAAGTAACAAACATAATAACAAAATAGGAATTCCCAAATATCTTATGAAACTAATTACGGAATAATAACAACACTGAGTAGCCGAATGGACCTTAAAACCAAGGAAATAATGGAGATAAGTAAAATTTGATATAGAAAAATTCAGACACAAGATTAATTGTCATCATGTTATTATGTCTGATCAAAATCTCATCAAGATATACCAAGATTGAGATGAACATGTCATCCTCATGGTATGCAAAAAAGAAGGATCAACCATGTAGAAGAAAAGTACTGTTATATTAGAACATCACTTTGTGATTGAAATAAATTTCAAGTGTAAAGAGATTTGAGGAGTTTATATACACACATACATATAATATAAAAAGATGAATTTATAAACAATCATACCCGAGTTTTTCTCCTTACGAATATGATCAATAACCATTAATTACAAATGCATAATCTGTCTAAATATTATCAAATTAGAGTACAGAAGATAAAAAACCAGTTACATGTTTCTAGCTTTTGCATCTTAAAATTTGCAACTACTTGATAATAGAAACTGAAGTGCGATAATAGTTCCATCTCAAAACTCCCCTAGATTTTGAATAATTATTTTTACAAAATTTTAAAATATGTTCCAATGCTATAGGAAGACTAAAGGTAATAAAATGGCCATACGGCAATCATAAATGCAACTAAGGCATACCAAAGTAAAGTAGATAGTTCAAAATGAAACCAAATCAATCTCTCATCTTGTCTTATTTTTACATTGGATTACTATATATGCCCATACTATCTCACTCCTATGGCCAGTATATTTGCTATATATAGCAAAATTTCAGATAACATTATATATATATATATATATATTTATATGTGTGTTAGCATAGTACAATTAGTGATTAAGAGATGATTATTTGTACTTAAATTACTAGACCCATAGAATGTGCTGACACATATAATATATTTTGATAATTACATAAAATACAAATGAAATATTATTTCATGCGAACAAAAATTATATAGACGAAAAAAGTAATAATAAAATACAAAAAGTTATCTTACCTCAACTTCTAATGAGAAATCTGCAGAATAAGGAGAAAATAGATTATTATGCATTTGTATAATGCATAATCCTTAAGTTTGTAGTCAATTAAAAAGATAAGTTATAACCATTTTAAACAGTAAATTTCAAACTCAAATTCATGACAGATTCACATATGATGTGGCTTTTATTTTATCACATTTCTAGCACCATTGACCTAAGAGAGTTGCTTGTCCAGAAAGGTTGAAAAAATATAACAAAGCATTAAATTACAGAAAAGGGCCCTCCAAAAAGCAAAAACCCAGCAATATGAAAGTCGTTAGGAGCCCACTGAATTCTACAAATGGTGAGTGACAAACTGATACTGGCATTTTTAGGTTATTGACTTGATACACTTCTGTTCACTTAACAGGACATTTCTGACTCATCAATGATCTTGTTTGGCATAGGACCTGCACTCACCATACTTTTCCTAGACAGACAAGATGATAAAGTATTTAGGACCTGCAATGCATATAAACATTTGTGGTAGGGAATTACCAATTACTCGCATACCTCGAGAAAAAGCAAGTTCCTACACAGATGTCAATCTGATGGCAGGAATCCATATGGTGTTTTGACCTTAATTGGCATAAACGTTCAACCTTACTCGAGCAGTCACTTCTGGATGAAGTCTCAGTTCTGCAATATATTCTCCTGTCTCACGGATCTCAGGAAGAGAAACAATTCGCTTATCTACATCCCTGAGTTCAATTCAAGAGCGGAAAATAATACCGTTAAGCACAAAACGATCACAGGCCCAAAATTCTGCAAAAAAGACTTAAGTGTTAGCACAAGAAACTCTTTATTTTCTTGGTTGCTCAGCTATCCTTTATAGACACTAGAGTTTTACAAGGTCCAGGTTACTTGAATATCAGGATATACTCTTAAAAATTTAAGATTTACCAGACATTCTGATATATGATTTGGAGCATCTAATTAAAGGAATGCAGACTGTTCATCACGTGAGAACAATCCTTTAAAAACTGGGGGGATGTAAAATTATGTGTTCTCGTCCAGACAAAACAACCACATACAAACAGTCTATAAATTGTTATAATATCTGCATATTCCGTTTTCTTCTTCCAAACGTAAAACTTTTTGGCAACCAGAGCTTATTTAAGGAAAACTGCGAACTTTCTTCTATATGAAACAGCAGGTAAAATTCCCAAGTACCCTAAAATCTGATCAAGAAATTGAGATCGTTAGTTCTTCTAGCATTTATATCATAGTAATAACTAGATCAGGAGTTTTACCTTTGAAGCTGTGCCTTGATTATGTCCACAAGATCTTGAGCTGTAACACTGGCAAAAGGAAGAAATATATGACGCAGTCAGATATGACATTCAGACAATGTAACAGTCAAGTGGTTGGTGTTGCACGCTTGCAGTACATCAGACTCACCTTCCAAAAATCTGCTTTCCTTTTCCACCTTTGCGCCTGACTTTGAATGCTCCAACAGTTTCAAATATTAGAGCAAGTTGTTGAGCCTCTTCTTTTACCTGTCAGGAGATTAAATTACCAACAGCATACAATTAGTTTCCCCAGTAAAAGATGATTTGGCTAGAGAGATAAGAGATTCCTGATGTAAGCAATGATCAACGTATGAAATGCTATAACTACCAATCCTTCAAGTTCCAACCATGAGAAAATTATTTCCTCACTGAACAAGATTAAGAGAGCTGGCAGCGAGATTGAATATTATTCTCAAGATAACCAAAAGAACCAAACATGTGCAGGGAGGGACTTTATATTAGAATTGCCAGCTATCTTTTAATCTTGTTCAAAGAGGAAACAATTTTCTCCTGGTCTTAACAAAAGTTTCAACTTGAAGGAAATAATTTTTTCATAATATTGTTAAAACTTTTTCAGGGTTTATACATATTAGGTCACTTAAATATGCATAAATCGTGAAAAATGTTTTAACAAAAAAGAATATTGAGCAGAAAACGAAAAAACTATTTGCTACTTAGTTACCCGCTTCTTCTCAGCCTCAATTCTTTCCTCTTCCATCCGCATTTCCCTGGGAAATGTGATGTAATCAGATTTGAATAAGAACAAATTTTCTAAAAATAGCAGAACATGTGAACTATATTAAAAAATTTCATTAACCATCCATCAATCAAAAGCAATAAATGACATGACATGCAAAATTATGAAACCTTATCCTAAAATTCATATATGCAGAAAATCAGAACTCCCATGCATTTTGCATAATAGACTTATTTACTTGTTTTTTTTTTTAAATAAGAATAGGCTTATTTACTTATGATGAAACTGTACCACATGATAAACTTTTCATCTAAAATAATTTACCCAAGTTTCAAAGAGCTTGCATGTATTAGCAGACCAGATAAGCTACCAAGATCCACAATGCCAATTAAATATAGTTCATTTGTTAACCTGCTTCAATGGTATTATATTTTTCTTCCTCCCTGGTTTCTTAATTTTGTGAGGCTCAAAGCTGGAAAGTACAACATATACCAATCTTTTTTTATTATTAAATAAAGCATCGTATAATAAAAAGATGATGTAATGACTCTTTCCCTTAAAATATCTATTGCAAATTCTAACACCGATGTCAAACCGTGAAGCACATAGACAGGCCACACACAGAAGAAAATCAAAAACTTGGGATTGGAAAAAGGAAGATGAAATTGTTTAAGACAGCCAGTATCCTCATATTAACAGAGAATCCAATAAATCCAAGCAGGATGATAATGTTTACCAACAAAAAGAGTAGGGGAAATCATAAAAATCTAGTGTACTCTGTGTTGAGCAGGAAAATGATTCGTTATAGCTGCTGAAGACAGTTTTAGGAGTAGAAAACTTTTGCATCTGATAATGGTTATGAAAAATAACATGCCTTTATAGACACTAGAGTTTTGCATCTGACGGTAGAAAACTATTTATTGTTTAGGCCTATATACATTTGGTGCTGCCCTGAAAAAACTACATGAAATGTTTTACTTCACTTCACTTCACTTCACTTTCCAGCCACCATCAGTGTTACTTCTATCTCTTGTTGGTGGACATAGTCGAGTTTACAAGATTTTCTTGTTCTTTCCACTCATAAGCTCGAACCTTCAGTATTTCGCTTCTTCTCAACTAAGAGAAGAAAGCACTTGCTCTGATGGGGAAAAAGAAGGCTCCGATGCTTGAAGCTGATTTAAACAAATCTCAAACAAACTTGGGAAGAATTAGTTTATACGTATATCCTGTTTCCTGGACCTTCATTCACAATGTACATACACAGAACATAGATAAAGGCCCCTAAAATCTACCAGGCAATCTATCTCCATCTCCTCTCAACTAAGCATGTTGCTTTTAATTGGGGATACAGGTGTGATACAGGTGTTCATCAGATGAACCAATTTCTACCTCAAAACAGCAGACAAGGGCAGCCACATTCCTCTATTTTAATTCTAAATCAGGTAAAACACACCAAAATCAAAATCAAGTTTAAATCAGAAACACTTGTGCTGCTACACATTACTTGAGCAACAGCGGAGTAACAATCTGGGCCTTGCCCATCGGCAGGAGATAATTCCTGAAATATCCTGCCTTCACATCCAGTAATTGCCCCTTTTTCCCCAGGTCTGCCACATCCTCTTTCAAAATTATCTAAAATCAAGACAACAAAAAGAAAATGTCCTTTTATTTCTTTCTCCGGTTTCCGTATGTGCCAAAAGAAAGTAAGAACCAAAAAATTCAGTCAGTTAACCGCGATTTAACTTTAAAAAAGAACCTGTTTCAGGATTCCTCAGTACATGTTACCTTCCGAACCTTTTTGGCTTTCTTTTGGGCAAAAACCACCAAGACTGTTTTCTTTTCTGGTAACTTGGTGGCTTCATTTGTAGGGCTGCTAAAGCTCTGAAGAAAAGAAGAAGAAGTCCAGCAGAGAGTGGAAGCTGCAGAGGACGCCATTACCAAAAGCTATATCTCTTTGTAAATGGTCTTATCTGTTATTAACCTTGCCCTTACCTTGCTTCGTCGTTCGAGAACATAACGTGGGCCCCGTTTTAAAATTTCTGTTTAATTTTTGCCTCGCTATTTTATTTAAAATGCGATTCTATCCTCTCTCCAGTAATTTTATTGCATCCAAACCCCTAAAATGGTTTATGACTTTGTAATAAAGCTGCTACTCTAATTTTTCTCTTACTAATATTATTTTTCTTCTTCTAAAGCAAAGTTGAGAGTGACTTACAGTATAGTTTTTAGACTGGGTATATTGGAAGCTTAATATTTTAGCATATTTAATCTGTCATTATACTGAAGTCAATTGCATGGGCATTGAATATTTATATTATTCATGGTTCATGCTGCAATTGAAGACCTTATAGGTTAATGCCTTAATGAATAAACCTATCATTTTGTCTTTGGTCTCAACTTTCAAACTGTTGACTCATGAACACTTAGTGATTTCTGTATTAAATAGACTTGGATCATTAGTGAGCTCTTAATTTTTTGATGAACAAGTTATTATTTTAGTTTTTCGAATTATACCAAATATTACACTTTAATCACAAATAAATTTTTTTCCCCCACAAATTAGGTGTAGAAATTTTTTCATTTGTCATTTACTTTTCAAGACCCAAAAAAAATGAGGTGTTTCTTTCCCAACTCCCTTTTTTGTCTCTTCCTGTTTCTCCTCTAGATCTCCCTATCTTCCTGATTCTTCCCAACTCTCAGTCTTTTGCTCAGCCTCTCAATCTCTCTTGCTTCAGTCTATGAAAGGACGTGACTGCAGAGGAGAGGAAGGAGGAACAAGTGCGAAGACAACGAAGCCATTACACATGAAAATGAAGGAGTCGAAGCTATAGGAAGCAAAAGAAAGCTAGAGATTCAAAGGGATAATGGCGGGTTTTGTAAGGGTTTGGGTTTAGAAGGAAGAGTACGGGGAGGGAGAATGTCTTCTTCATTTTTACGGGTATACCCGAAATAAAGCAAAAGTATTTTTTTAGGGGCCCCCCTAGGGTTTCTGATTTTCTAATCCTTTTAAATATTAAACAATGTTAGTAATATAGAACAACGCAGAAAATTCAAAGTTTTATTGTAACAAAAACATTCCTTTAAAACTAAAATATAATTTTAATCAAAATTGGGACACTATATTTAATATGTCATTATTTTCATACCACCAATCTAGAGAATCTGCTATGTTTGGAATAATATTTTACGAGTGGATGAACTTCTAAATTCACACAACTTTTTTTATAGATGAACTTGTAATAATATATCTAAATTTAATAGTCGAGTCGCTTGTGCTCTACTATTTGAATATGTTCAAATTACTATATTATATTTTATTGTTATTAGGGTTTGATTGAAAGTTTGAATCTTTGTACCTTATGCTTTTACATCAATTATTCCCCCATAAATTAAATTCTAACCTTTTCCTTTTTCGTTCTTGTGGGTGGGAGGAAAAAGATCCTCCAACAAGAAAGGCATGTTTATTTTGATGTTGTATTCATCACTAGTTTATAGTTTAGTGATCAATGTATAAAAAAAATACATTATAATAATTTTTATTTATTTTTTATACAGTGATATTAATGTCGAATGATTTTTTTAATTAATAATTTTTTAAAAAAAATTACCATTTACAACAATTTTTTATTATTTATATATATTATATCTAAATTAAAGAGTATAATAATGTGTAAAGAAAACACATGAAAGAGGAACGTCACTCAGTTTTAAATTTTGGGTCTTTTAAAGACATATTTTCTGGTAGACATCTTTTTTTTTTTTTATTTCCATTTGCCTTTATATCTTACATGGCTTCTTGATTTTGTATTAGTGGTGGAGTTGGATGCAAATCATTAAAATGGTTGTATTGACTTTGATAAATAAACAAAAATAGAAAGCTAAAATGTTGATAGAATAAGAAAGGAGAAGAGATCGTTATCTACTCTTCGAAGATTTTTTTTAATAAATTAAATTTTTATAATTATTATTATATTTTATTATCTTAATCTTTATCTCTGAAAGCCACTCATATTTTATAAATCAAAATTCCCCATGTCCTATAGCTAAAGTTCAATTGAAGATTTTTTTTATTATATCTTTAAATTAAAGCAGAAAAAATAATTGATTTTTAGTTTAAATTGAATTGAATAAAAAAATTTTGATTTAAATTAGATCGTGTTAATTCTCATATGATTCAATTTTTGGTCTTAGCCATATAGTAGCTTTGATTTTGATTTAGGACGATCTACTTTTAGACCATTGCACAATCTTGTGGAAATGTTATATGCAATAACTAAGAAATTGTTTCTAATTTTTTTTTTATTTAAATATAATTTAAGTAATACTTAAAGATTAATACCATTATCTTATTAAAAAAAATAATACAATGGATTATAATTAGAACTTGTATTTTTTTCTTTTCCTTATTCTTTTTTGAAAAAACATATATATAGAAATAGATATTAATATAATCCCAAATATAATAATAAACTATTACATGATGATTAAGAATAGAATATAATGAAAGTAGTTAATGTTTATTTCATTTTTCTTTATTTTAGTCAATGTCTACTTCTCTTGATTAAACCCTTGGATTATTTATATTGAAAAGGGTTTTATATAAGAATTAAATAGTGAGATTGAAGTCATATGAGGAAGGTCTTTAGTGGGGATTCATCAACTGTTTCCTCTTCGAGTTGACTTCCAACAGATTAAACATCTACTTTTCACACACTAATATATATGTATACACATATATATGGGAGATGAATCAACTCCAAACTGGTCTGGTTAGAAGAAGATTATACCAACAAAAAGGTAGAGTTCTTGTGAAGAGAATTAGATTGATTTGAAGTTAGTAGGGAAAAAAATGATTTCGTCGTCATCAACTTCAGCTCTTCAAATCTATCATCAAGAGATTTTCTCATCATCCAATCGTGTTGAATTAGCAAGTTCAGATCATCAGACCAGTCACACCAGCTCTCTCCTCTACAACCTGTCCGTTCTGAAAGCCAAGGTTGATCAGGTGCATTCACTGGTTAGCATCCTTGTCTTTCCAGATGGAAACCACCTGCAGCATCAGCTCAAGATGGTAACCGAGTCAACCTCCATAGCCATAGCCACCATGGGAACTCTGCTTCAAGAAATCATTGCAACTGCATCTTCAATTATGTTCACCTGCCAACAAATGGGTCCTTCTGCTATTTCAGCTGGTAACAATAACAATACTACCTCAAATGATCATGGTCAATTAATCAACCACCAGGTTAGTAACAAGGCTCCTGATGATCATGAAGGTGGATTATCATCTCAAATATCAGACCATTTTCATCTAGGTAAAAGTAATAAACGGGTCCAAGGCTATTACTCTAACGATCATCATGCTGATCATCTTCAGTGGTACAGTGGGAACAATCTTTGTTTGGCTGACGAGGTCAAACGTTATTTGAAAGAAGAGGAAAATAATTATGAACAGTCAACAAACAAATGCTACGACATAATCGAATTGGTTACCCTGATTTACTAGCAAAATACACACATTACTGTCAAGTTTGTGGGAAAGGATTCAAGCGAGATGCAAACTTGAGAATGCACATGAGAGCTCACGGAGATGAGTACAAGACTACTGCAGCCTTGACCAACCCTATGAAGCATATTAATGACGTTAATGCAGTGAAAAAGATATCAATGCCCAGAAAATACTCTTGTCCTCAACAAGGTTGCAGGTGGAACCAGAAGCATGTCAAGTTCCAGCCATTGAAATCGATAATTTGTGTGAAGAATCATTACAAGAGGAGTCATTGTCCAAAAATGTACGTCTGCAAGAGGTGCAACAGGAAGCAGTTCTCCGTGCTGTCGGATCTGAGGACTCATGAGAAGCACTGTGGTGATCTCAAATGGCAGTGTTCTTGTGGCACCACATTTTCCAGGAAAGATAAGTTGATGGGTCATGTTGCTTTGTTTCTCGGACATGAACCAGCTAACATTAGTGCCCTTGCAAAGACAGGGAAAGTGGAACAGCAAGCCACCCAGATGGAACTACATCAAAGTTAATACGTAATATATTATTAATTGAGGTCAATGTCATTACGTTTGTATGGTATCATGATGATCGGTAGCATATATAGATTTGTGTTTTCCTTTCTTTCCTCTCAATTTTATGTTTTTGCTGTGAAGATACGAACCAACAAATTAATGAATTGCTAATTATAATTATATGTTCAATATGATCTTTCATGGCTTTATATATTTATAATTTGTTAACTTCAACTATACTATATGTATACACAATTGTTGCACTACTATATGTATACCCAATTGTTGCATTCTTTGGGAGAACCATCACCACCAATCATGAGAAACGGAATGCTCTAATATGATAAAATTCCTATCTATCAAGTAATTACAATGGTTTGTTTTGCTAAGATATGTGCAACCTAATTATAATTTTGTAGAATCCAAGAAAATAATTTCGAAAAAATTTTTAAAGATAAAAAACATCTTCTACTAACAAATCCAATTCAGAAATGCTCACGATTACATAAAATTACCCTCAACGATGATTGTTAGACACTCATTCTACTAAATACCTCCATGACATACTAGAGGGCTAGAATTTTTGCTGTCTATATTTCTTGTTTTTGGTATGTGTTACATTCCTATAAAGGGTAACTCACCATTCCAATTCTTGCAAATTACTCTAGTACCTATTATTTCATCACTGCCAATAGAAGCATCCTAATTAATCTTGAGTGGATGGCCTTACACCCCAATGGTTACATTTTCAATTAAAATAATAATTGATTATTTGATTGATTGGAACCTTTATAAGTAGCTTATTGTGATCAAACGATGAAGATATATATGTTATATGAATACTTAGATGTATTTAGCTAGTTATTGCCTATATGAAGTGTTCTTCTAACAAATCAAATTTTCTCATTTTATCTTTTTATAGAGCATGGTTGGTATATCATCATCAAATAATAGATGTAAAAAAGATTGTGATTTAATTTTCATTTAATTTCTAGTCAAATTTTTGTTCTAATATTTATAAATATTAGCCTTAATACAATATGCATAAATATACAATTTAGATCTTTATATTTAAAGTGATTTCTTCAGAAACTTCTTTAGTCTTTTTGTTCTAAAACAAGTAAATTTTTTAATTTTTAGAAATGTTAGATTTTACATATAATCATAACACTCTTAAGGTTTTCTTTTTTTTTTTTTTTTGCTCTTTTTTAATCAAATAATGACAAACGACTTATAGACTTTTCCTATGGTCGATCTACAATTCGCTTATCTAATGCATTATGTTATTTTCGCCCCAAGTCCTTGAAGGCTCTGTAAGAGAAAATCCATCCTTAATGGTCGATTTTTGAGCATGTTCTAGGTAAAATGTATGTTAGTTTTTCTTAATTAAATAACGATATGTTTATAACACACCTCTAGATTATTTTATTTTAGTGTACTATAATTAGAACAATTGTTTGAGACAAACATATATTTATCATGTAGTGATGCATGCCACATATATTTATTATCAAGAGTGTCTTATAAAATATCGATTAATACAATAATTTAATGGTTAAAATCTTTCTTCTCTGTTTAAATATCATAAATTTAAATTTTACTAAGTATATAAAATTTACTTTATAGTCACTAATACATTAGTGTAGACATAGAAGTATATGCAAAATCATTAAAGTCTATAATTAGTATGCTTCCAAATTTCACTATTTAGTGAATAATCAAGATTTGAAATTGAGCTTTGAACCCTTCATTTTTTTATTCATAATATCAATTCTAAAGGAATCATCTTATCATCATTACATTTTTTGACCCAAAATAGGACATTACCCAAAAGCTTTACTTATCAATGATTCACTCGCCTATACTTTTTTACCATCAAGAGTCTTACGTGCTACAAAGAACATGGTGCTGACTAAGACCATTAAGGAAATCTATTGATTTTTGAACGTTCTATCAATGTCAAGGTTGATCATTGATAATTTCTATTGAAGAAGAGAGAAATTTTTATTCATAAAAGATAAATTTATGAATCTATCCTAAATATAGTGTTACTTAAAAAATTAAAAACTTGTAATAGTCTGTTATACCATTGAAATTATAAAAATTACCCATCTCTACTTTTAATTAAGACTCCCTTAACTATGCATAAATTGAAAGAAAAAAAAAATAAAAGAACTCTTATGTCTTGAAAAATTACAGAAATATCTCATACTATGAGTCTTTTATATAAGTTCATTGTAATATCTTTTTAAAGTAAGTTTTTTTCAATAGACAAAATATTCATTATGAAAGAAAATAAAAAAATCAATAAACCAAGAAGCTTCTACGTAACAAAACTTCTACCAAACAATTCAGTAAACTCCCTTATTAGACACATTGGTTACCTTACTATATGTTCTAGAAATCCAAATATAAAAGAAAATTTTAGACAATTGTCTAGAATATAAAATATTTTTTACCAATAGTTCCATCTCCAAGAAAGAAGAAATAAGGGCTCTAGAGGAATTATCAAAAATTTATAAGTCTCCTTCAATTATCAGGTATTAAAATCCATGTAAAGAGCTATTTCCATACTACAAAATAGAGTAAGAATCTCTCCTATCTCAGCTCTTCTTAGTCTTAGAATTTTTCTCATACCTTTATTCAATTAGCTTAACTGAAAAGAGAAAACTCTCCTTACTTTACTAAGAGATTAAGGGTTCAATACCTTATAACCTTTCAGGCCAATAGAAAAAGTTATGGTGGTGGAATGTTTTATGATTACCAAATGAGAAGCTGCTAATGGAATGTGATTCTGAATTAAGAATGAAAAATATGTTTGTTAATTCATTGAGTGGTTTATCTCGGTGAAGGTATATTAGCTGAGGATGAAGAAACGTCTACAAAAATGTAGATTAAAGTCGAGGATGTTCTAAAAATTTGGATTTCAAGATTTTTTACTTTTTAAAGAATTATCTTAGTAAATTATATGAGATTGATGATTAAAGTATTCAAAACATAGAGTTTGAGCTTGCAAAAATTTAAATTATGATCCATGGGGGGAAAAGCTTCTTGAATCAATATGTGTTTAATGAATGTTTTATTTAAACATCATTTATTTTTTAAAAAAATAGTGTCTTTACTTAATTTTATTTTCTAATTTTTAAATGGACCAAAAAATTATGATGGAAGTTATTTCTGTAATTATATTTATAATATTCTTATAATTTACTAGTAACCTTAAATGTTAAGGATATAAATACGGTTTGACTTAGTAATTGATAAATTAATATCATAAATTTTATTTCGTAAATCATAAAAGAATAAAAAAAATTATTATCTCAATTAATAATTAAAAAAATTATAATAACAGCTATCTATTATTTGTGGCAACCTCAATCGTAAAATAAGACCGACCACACAATATAACTTCATGGCCAAGAGACAAAAGCAGTCAAAGTCAATGACCCACCAGACCTGTAAACTTGCACGCAAGCTTCTCTTCTGGGTTCTCTCGGCAAATAAAGAAATGAGAGGAGTTCAATAAGCTAAGTATTTTTAATAAAAATAAGGCAAAGAAGAAGAAGATGATGACACTGTCAGCTGCTGCTGCTTCTAGTTTTACAGTTTCGCCATCAATAAAAAATACCCTTCAGTTTTTGCCTCCCAAAAGAGCTTCTTTAGATTTACCTTTAACGAAGCAATTTTCAAGGAGTTCCAGAATCTTCTCTCCTTTGCGTGTAGCGGCTCCTCCATCGCCACCCACATCAGATCAAGAGCAGGTTAACCAAGATTCCGTGGAAGCCGAAGAGAATAAAAAGGTTGGTGAAGAAGTGGGTGAAGAGAGTGAAGGTTCAAAGTTTTGTTGGAGGGATCATTGGTACCCGGTTTCTTTGGTGGAGGATTTGGACCCGCGCTTGCCCACCCCTTTTCAGCTTCTCGGTCGAGACTTGGTTCTTTGGTTCGATAAGGGAAGTCGGCAATGGGTTGCTTTCGATGACAAGTGCCCTCACAGGCTTGCTCCTTTATCAGTGATTCTCTCTATTCACTTTCTGTGCTGTGCTTTTTCTTTTCCTTAATAGCCCAGTGTTTCTCTTTTTTTCTGATGAAATTGAATGTAAGATTGAGAACCTGTTCAAGCTTACCCTCTTGCTTGATTTTGGATATAAGAGAAGAAATGAGAAGTATGGAGACAATTGGGTTTATTAATAGAAAATGGAAACAAACCTCAATTTTGGCACTGCATAATTTTTTTGTCAGGCCAAGTTTTACTGCGGTTTGTTGTTACCTTAGAAATTGCTAATAACGAATATTATATGATAAAACAGGGGAAAAAGGGCAATCAGTTTTTCTTTATTTGGGATGAATGATTACCGCCTAAATGGAATTTAGTTCAGGCGAGCAAGTTTCCAGGGAATTTTCTTTTCTGGGAATTGTTCTGTAAAGAAGCTAGAAACGTTGACTGCTTGAGGTTGATGCTATGTTTTATGGAAATGGATAGAAGAGTTAGGCTGACAAAGTTCACGAATTGGTTTGTAGGAAGGGAGGATTGATGAAAATGGACACTTGCAATGCTCTTATCATGGATGGTCTTTTGATGGGTGCGGATCTTGCACTCGGATACCTCAAGCTTCTAATGAAGGTCCTGAAGCTCGTGCAGTTCGGTCCCCTAGAGCATGTGCTACTAGGTTTCCAACAATGGTCTCCCAAGGGCTGCTTTTTGTCTGGCCTGATGAAAATGGATGGGAAAGAGCTAATGCGACCAAGCCTCCCATGTAATTTGGCAGTCCTTATTTGATTGTTGAAGGGCTGAATTACTAAGTTATAGACATAATAATATGAGAAAGTAATTATTTCAATGAAAAAATATAATCCATATGGTATTTCTTCAGGTTGCCTGATGACTTTGATAAACCAGAGTTCTCGACTGTGACAATTCAACGCGATCTGTTTTATGGCTATGATATTCTTATGGAGAATGTCTCAGATCCTTCCCATATTGATTTTGCGCATCACAAGGTATTTACTCACACTTAAACTGTCAATTGTTTCATTTATCATTTAGCCACCAAAAAATTCATTAGGATTTACATGATTTAGGATATAATGTCCAAACAAATTGTTTTAACATCCACTTTCATTTGTAGACAACTTGCTAAATCTGGATAGCATTTTGATCAAAGTATTTTTCTGCTAGTGCATTGCGATTGGCGAGCTTTGGTCTTTTCTCAATATTTATCAACCTTAAAATGGGAAGTGTTTCCTGGTAGAAAAGGCTTGAGTAACATACTGCTAAACCAGTATGTCAAGGATTGCATGAAGATCTACTTACTGCCTTATAGTGTCTCCCCATTTTATTTAAAAATTTGTCTGTATGACCTAAGAATTTATGCATTTGGATTGGGAGAGATGATAAATGGGAATAAAGGGGGAGTTGTACCTTTGTCCTATTAGATTATAATTCAGATTGGTACTTCATTTTAGATCATACAAACGAGGAGAAGTTACACCTTATTATCTCCTTCCTTTCTCTCTATAGCCTGTATTGTCTCCCCTCTAAGATTTGACTTAAATTTCATTCTGCTTTTTGATCTCTGTTTTCTCAATTATTATCAAATGTTCTGATAAATAAACTATTATTTGTTTAACTGTTTTTCACCCACTACTGAGCTTCAAGCTGTGCAAGTCCTGTCAATCTCCATTTAGCTAGTATTCTCTATTCATTTCTGAACTTTCTCGTCTTCTTTATATATGAGTCCACATGCTAAGCTTAAAAAATCTTACTTGCGCACGAGGCAGATGCAAACATAGTAGATTGTATTCCTTCATTTCAGTTTAAGCTATTAAAATAATCAACTCTATCTATTATTTAAGACATATGTACAACAAATGCTGGTATATTACGAAATAAATTATTCATTACTCATCTGGAGAAGTTGCTCCACAGGTTACAGGAAGGAGAGATAGAGCCAAACCTTTGCCATTTAAATTGGAGTCTAGTGGTCCGTGGGGTTATGCTGGTTCAAATGATGGTAATCCGCGGATAAGTGCCAAGTTTGTTGCACCTTGCTATGCTATGAATAAGTAAGTTGAATTGTTCTTAGATGCTGTAGTAGCTTTCTTCCTGCCTAAGACCTACTTCTCTCCTTTATAGCAAGTCTAGAGGACTTCCATAACTTGGTGAAAATGTTTCAGAAGAGAATGGATGCATATTCTGTAAAGCTTTCTCATTCTTATAATTGAAAGAATGCATAGGGAATGTAAACAAAGACTTTCATTTCAGAAGGCATTGCTGACATTTGTCTTTTGAAGGACAATCCTTTTTCTAGAATTTTGCAGTTTGTCGTGGATATAACTCTGGAATCTTATCATATTTGGATCATTTTGTTTCCAGAATAGAGGTAGACACAAAGCTTCCGATTGTTGGTGAACAAAAATGGACAATATGGATATGCTCATTCAATGTACCAATGGCACCTGGGAAGACTCGTTCAATTGTTTGCAGCGCTCGAAATTTTTTCCAGTTCAGTATGCCAGGGCCTGCTTGGTGGCAGGTAATGATGGTTTTATGTTCCTTCTGATTGTTTTTTTGCAGCAGTAACGTGGATATTCAAGGAGCTTACTCTTTTAGACAATTCAATCTTTAGGCTACCCGTTAGTTATGCATGTTATAATGGTTGCTTCATTTAGGTTATTTTGGTTTAATTCTTATTCTATTAGCTTTATCATGGTTATTAAAAGCTTCTTAACATGTGAAACTGGATTACACTCTTTGTGTTTGATTCACAATTGAACCAAAATTCTATTCTTGCCTAGAATGTTAGGATATAGATTTCTGTTTCCTACTTGGCTTGTATCACTTTGAAATTTACCCAACATTAATTTGAATATAATTGGAATACTACTTTGATGTTAGTGTTGTCTATTTTAACTGTATTCTGATTTTTATTATATAAAATTAGCACAGTTAGACTTATTGTAACCTTAGAGTGCTCATATCCTATTGAACCTCCAACTTTTTGCTTTGTTAAAAATTTTGTTTAAAAATTTTATCAGTGGCTACTTTGAGTACTTGTATCCTCTTAGGACATCTAGAGAGTGCTTTGTTAATCACCTTTTTAAACTCTGTTGAAGGATTTGAACTCTTTTGAAGGATTTGAACTCTTTTGAAGGAATACAACATTGTTTTCTACAAAATTTTCTTTCGCAGCAATTAATAACTAATCTTTGCCTGTGTTTGCTCACTGTGTCAGTTGGTCCCTAGATGGTACGAACACTGGACATCAAATAAAGTATACGATGGGGATATGATTGTTCTACAGGGTCAAGAGAAGATCTTTCTCTCAAAATCAATGGAGAGTGCTGATGATATTAACAAGCAGTACACAAAACTCACATTTACACCCACACAAGCGGATCGTTTCGTCTTGGCATTTCGAAATTGGCTGCGGCGACATGGCAACAGCCAGCCAGACTGGTTTGGCAATACCAACATGCAACCTCTGCCATCAACAGTTTTATCAAAACGCCAGGTACTTATCCCGGGAACCTCCTGCTAGCACACTGTCATGACTCCCAATCTTTCTCCAGAGACAGAATCCCGAATTTTATACTGAAAAAGGATCTGAGTATATTTGACTCAACTTTTTCCTCAAATG